GTGAGACCCCAGGAGGTCAAGAAATTCACAATTTTGGTAGCACCTTAAGACCCTTCCATCTATGAAGAGAATTTGATTCTACCATATCTGGGTCTTGATAATTAGATTTTTGAAATTTCAGTCAATTCAACCCTTTTTGGCCACATCCATCAGCCCCTGGGGGTCAGTCAGGGCTCATATGTGCATACTATCAAACTGCTACCTAATACTGATAATGCTAACCCAAATTGAATTACTTCCAATGGAAATTAAACAAATGTTGGTCCAAAATGTGATTTCCCTATATAAACTATAGTAAAGTTTACCCCCTCCCCAGGGGGAAACGTGAGACCCCAGGGTCAAGAAATTCACAATTTCGGTAAAGCACCTTAAGACCCTTCCATCTATGAAGAGTATTTGATTCTACCATATCTGGGTCTTGAGAAGAAGATTTTTGAAATTTCAGTCAATTCAACCCTTTTTGGCCCCACCCATCAGCCCCTGGGGGTCAGTCAGGGCTCATAGGTGCATACTATCAAACTGCTACCTAATACTGATAATGCTAACCCAAATTGAATTACTTCCAATGGAAATTAAACAAATGTTGGTCCAAAATGTGATTTCCCTATATAAACTATAGTAAAGTTTACCCCCTCCCCAGGGGGAAACGTGAGACCCCAGGGTCAAGAAATTCACAATTTCGGTAAAGCACCTTAAGACCCTTCCATCTATGAAGAGTATTTGATTCTACCATATCTGGGTCTTGAGAAGAAGATTTTTGAAATTTCAGTCAATTCAACCCTTTTTGGCCCCACCCATCAGCCCCTGGGGGTCAGTCAGGGCTCATAGGTGCATACTATCAAACTGCTACCTAATACTGATAATGCTAACCCAAATTGAATTACTTCCAATGGAAATTAAACAAATGTTGGTCCAAAATGTGATTTCCCTATATAAACTATAGTAAAGTTTACCCCCTCCCCCAGGGGAAACGTGAGACCCCAGGGTCAAGAAATTCACAATTTTGGTAAAGCACCTTAAGACCCTTCCATATATGAAGAGTATTTGATTCTACCATATCTGGGTCTTGAGAAGAAGATTTTTGAAATTTTAGTCAATTTGACCCCTTTTGGCCTCGCCCCTCAGGCCCCTGGGGGCTTGGGCTAAACCGGCCACAATTTTTGTTGACCTTTGTCCATGGAAGGTCCCTGCAAAATTTCAAGTTCCGTTTCGGGACTTTTTTTCCACCATGTATTGAACAGAGAGACAGTACAGTTCTCAAAGTGTAACACGTGTACACACTTACTCGAGACTTTATACAAACTAAATCAACGACATACTAATTTGTTAAACGTGTGAAAAGGGTATTGTATAAATTGGAAATTTACAATGCAAATTTTGTGAACACTTCGGGGAGCTTACGAGTAGTCAGGTGGTAATTAGCCACACTGCATTTCTTTTGCGACTTTGTCATCCAGTCTTTGGAACAGCAGGCTTTAATAGTTGACCATTTCTTGCTCCTCGTAATCCGAAATCCAGTTAAATTCGCCCAATATACAACGTGGTTTCCCGCATTGAAGAGTTCCTATAAATACCGTAAATACGCAATTCAGCGTGCGTATGTGCTTGACAACGAATAATCTTTCTAATAGCGTAGCCTTTGTCACTGTATCTGATAATTGAGGTTCGTAATTCTGGAGATAAACGTGAGATCTTCTGCAGTTCTATCATTTGCCTAAGTGAATTGATAAACTGTGTGTGCATCCTAACCCAAAAAGACGGAGTAAGTTAGACGATCGAACTAAACAGCCGGACGGAACAGCTGGACGGAGTAGCCGAACTAAACGACCGAATGAAATAATTGGACGATAGTGACGGTCGAAATAACCGAACGGAACGATTAAGCTGATACGAACGAAACAGACGAAACAAACGAACGGTGCTCGAACGGCGAACGATCGCTTTCTTGACGCTAGACTACCGCTAACCGCACCCAAGCCACACGCAGAACGAACTGAACCTAGGTGGATACTTGGGCGTAATTCTAACTGTATCCAATCTGAGTTCCAGAGAAAAAGTCGCTTAAAGTAATATAGCCAAATTACCTTTTTTGGCCCCATCCCTCAGCCTCTTTGGGGGTCAGCCTGTCTATTTGTACACTTGTGAATCTCCACCTCCCATGAATGCTTCCAACCAAAACTGATTGATATCCAGTGCATAGTTCCAGAGAAGAAGTCGCTTAAAGCAATATAGCCAAATAACTCTTTTTGGCCCCGCAACTCAGCCCCCATTTGTTCAAGTATGAAACCCCACCACCTAGGGATGCTTCCAGTCAAATTTAGTTAAGTTACAATCAATGGTTAAGAAGAAGAGGTCTTTTGAAGAAATTGTTGATGCATGGACGACAGACGACGGATTGCACAGTTTGGCATAAGCTCACCTTGGTCCTTGGAAAAAAACCTAAAGTGTCCATTTTGAGTTGCTCCTAAAAGAAACAAGAGGCCCAATGGGCCTGCATAGCTCACCTGGTATTAATCTCACACCTGTAACCTTAAAAGTGATCTAAAATAAAGCTACAGGCAAACTATCAGTATTTACAATTATAAGTCATTCAAAAGAACCTATTAAAAGATTTTAAAACATTTGACCCCTGTGACCTTGAAAGGCAAACAAGGTCATTACGTTGAACAAACTTTATAGCCCTTCATCTCATCATGTAACTTGCAAAATATCACCACCCTAGACCTTTTGTTTATTGAGATTAGGTACCGTAAAAACCCATGTAATTTGCGCACTTTTTTTCCAGAAATTTAATACCCAAAGTGGGGGGTGCGTAAAATACACAGGTATAGAAAATTTCAAGTTTTTTTCAGGAAAAGATCGACGATTCTGGGAGATCGCCATCTTGGATTATTTCTCTTATTTATTATAGGCCTACACGGAACTCTAAGACAAATGACGGTCAACAAATTTATTTATGTCAAACATTAATAAAAGATACATAATGTGTTGTTATGTGAGTTTATGTGAAAAGTATTATTAAATAGGTA